CACACACACACAGAGAGAGAGAGTTCTTCTTCCTCTTCTAAGTCCACCATCTCTTCCTCACCCTCTCACTACCTGACTTCTCAGTATCTGCGGACAACGAGAGAGAGAGAGGGATTGGTGACTTCGGGATTTGACGACATTTGGATCCAGACTCGACATTGGGATTCAGACATGCGACGAGGGATTATTTGGGACTGTACCGAAGACTTGGTGTTGATGACATTTCCATCTTCCCTTCTTCGTCTTACCCCCTCTTCTTCGTTTATGTATGGTTGGGGACTGGTGCATTCTTCCTGTGAGAGCGCCAGGCCCCTTTACACCATGGAATGATGACGCCGTATGTTTGCTCTGCATGGCAACATTGATTGTTCGGATCATTGGTATTTAAGCCTTCCCCTGTGTTATCTTGTACTTTGTGAGAGAAATCGGTGCTTGTTCTGGTCGGGCCTGCCTATCCGGTCGACCGCCCGGTCCGACCGGCAGGCTCCCGATCAAGGGAGGAGCCCCTGGTCCAACCGGGGACCAGCCCTAATTATGTCCATGCCCACCATATGTGCACTTTCCAAGAGGGTTGTAATGCTTCAGAGAAGAGACACAGAGGAGGAGAAGAGTCCCCATCAATCAGCATGAAGTCTCTTCCTGCCCATTTCCTCCTCGGGCATTATCCCCCTTGTCAACACCTCAGCAATGCAGTCTTTCTCTCTGGCGTTCTCTAACAGTTACCGTGTGCAGGTCACGATCAGGTGCCCCAGGTCACGATCAGGCGCCCATCCATCCATATCAACAGCCAATCAGGGAGGATGGCGCAAGTCTTCCTCACCTTCGTGGAGACAAGCAGCAGATCACACACGGCGTCGCCAGGTAAGTCCAGGTAAGCTTCCCCTCAAACCCTCTCCAGTCTCACAGTCTCGATCCTCCTCCTCCTAGCCCCACCTCACCACCAATGTCTATAGCTATGGCGGCAATGGCCGCTCCAATATAATCTACCCTACCCAGCAGCACTGGTGCCAGCATAATGATACATGCTCAGTTGAGCAATGTATATGGAGCTAAGGATCCGCAAAGTGATGAAAAGGACTCGAATGGACAATGCAGCATCAGCAAAGCATCAACAAGCAATGTGTATCCAGATACATATGAGCATAGCACAATGTAGCGCAGCGGAAGACTCAAATATATGACCTGACCTGTCAGATACTGATGCGGCGTCCCATCATACACCAGACATGTGCAAGAGGGACGAGGGCCCACATACATGGAAGAAAGGTCCCTCTTTGCACACCCACATGGGGGAGATACCACAGATGAAGGGATGGGGGAAGAGGCGAGACGTAGATGGAGTTGAGGGAGAAGACCGAGATCGCGATAGCGAAGTCCAAAAACAGTCTCCCTGCCGAATGTCCAATCAATGTCTGCCACAAAAATGTCGAATCAGATCCTGGGTTCATGCCCGATGTAACCTCTGCCTGTAACCTCCCTCTCTCTCTCTCTCTCTCTCTCTCTCTCTCTCTCTCTCTCTCTCTCTCTCTCTCT